AAATGAAATGAAATGAAACAGACAAAAATCTCCCAGTTATTTTCACTATCCAGGATAGTAGCAGCTGCCTTTGAGCTATTCAGCACTTTATTTTGTCCTATGGCCCTGCTTGATTCCATGTTATACAGACACTGCTTGATAGAGAGAATCAAAGTATTTGCATTTCCATGTTGTGTAGGTTCACCAGGGAACTGCAGAGCCTGGCACTGCAATGACACTGCCCAGCAGAGCACAAGCCTTTGGCTGAGTGCAGTGACAATGCCTCAACTCCCCCAAGTCCTCCAGCATGTAGGAACCTTTTCTACCACATGCTTCCCAAGATTTACCTTCAAATGTGTATGATCCTGGGAGGTGGTACTATTCTCTCATGATGACAGAACGACTGAAGTACTAAAACTTTTAGGCTTCAGATATTAAAATGAAGATCTAATTTTTATGATATTTGGACTCTAAGAGCACAATGTATATTTACAGCCCCATTTCCACTGATTTCACCTAGTAGCTGTGAGTGCTGAGCAGCTCTATGAAACCAGATTCCAATTTATCAAACTGGACACAGGAAACAAATAACATACCACCAGTTACTATAGGTGGAAACATTTCAGTCTCTTACAAGGAGGTTCTTCTGTGGGGATAAAAATCAGTTCTTCCAGGAATCTCTCAACTACCTTAGCTGCAAAATATTCCTTTGCCTTCCTGTAATACTGTTCATCATCCATCACATGTTTCCAGCCTCTTCACAAATGTGGATTTCTCTAACAACATAGCATCAGCTCAGAACCAGGAGAGCTTTAATATTTGTGTTGAAGGTGGGAATCCCTCTTGAAAAAAACAGCAAATGACCACTTAATACTTACACTCACCCAGGAAGTCAAGAGAAGGCTGCAGGGAGTGCCTGGATAACAGCTCTTCATAACATTAGTGGTTCTTGACTATACACATTAAAAATTCTACTAGCAGGTGGGGTTTTTTTCCTCCAAACAAACACCTTCTTCCTTCCTCTCACTGCAACCCCAGTGCCAACACACACTATTTCATTAACCTTTTCAATGGCTATTCGAGGAATTAAGCTTTTATTTCATTTCACATATATTTATGGTGGAGAAGTCCATACAGCCCTTCCTCTGTCGCTAACTTTTCTAGGTAAGTATGTAGGTAATAATCATTATAGCTAATAGCTATAAAGAAAGGGAAATGATGACTGACCTTGAGCATTTTTGGTGGAAAGAACAAAAATATTTGCCTGGAGAATAGTGACAGCAGTGACCCTGAAGTAAAATGAAGAAGTAAACAACTGTGCCAGGAGACTAGGATTCAAAATCAATGTGAGGAAGTAACCATCAGCAGTAGATGAAAGGGACAATGATTGAAATAAATTACTGACAGCAATGTTTGATTTGGCTTATTTAATGCTCAGGCAAGAAGACTACTGACATAAACCAGCATGGAAAAGTAAATTGGGCAGGGTTAGGAAGACCCTCTGAGGACTCCAAAAGAACAGCTCCTAGTCAAGAAAGCCTCTGGGGAAACACAGAAGCCTGGTGAGAGTAAACACTGGAGCCTTGTCCTTCTGGGTGGATCCAGTTGTTTGTTATATTCCAACTGTGGTTGCAGAGAGTATGACCCTCAATATTATCAGCGACCTGATAAAAAATGGGGACTTGTCCCAGTCATGGCTTGAGAAAGGTGCATGGCAGCACAGCACCCCTGATGTGTGAGGAGTGAAGTATGCAACTGAACCAGGTCACAGGCAAGTAGATGCATCTGTTGTGCATTATTCATTACTGATTGTGTTCGAGTTACCCTGCCCCAACGGCTTCCTTTTGACAAACTGTTGAAGAAGGCAGGCAGCACCCTGCAGCATGCACTACTGCTACCAGCTGACCACCT